CTCTCTTTATAAAGGTATAAACACCCGGGGCCGGGGCAATAAATCAGACACGTATTCTTTAGCGTGATGTATGACTTCTTTTAAGCATGCATCAGCCTGCGCGGCGCTCTTATTCTGCCCGAGTCTCCCCCTGCTTTCCTTTCTGTGTCTGTCCTCCTCCCCTTAAAGTCCCGGAGACACCTGGGGATGAAGCTGCTTTGTTGCCCTATTCCATTATGAATGAAGGCGGCTTTCAGCCCGCCCATTCATCTCCGCTAAGCTGTCAAGCTCGCTCTGCACACCCCGCCCACCTCGACGGCCATGTTTGCATACATGTGTGTATTCGGGATTACACGGTGGGACGTGTGTGGGACGAGGTTCCGTCGCCTGTCTCCAGGGATGGATGGGCACGGCGGTCCGGGACCGAGCAGCCTTCTGCCCTTCCTGCTGCAACGCTCGCACCACCTCTCACTTGTACCTCCTGCGGCCCTTCACACCACTCTCCTCATGTCCTTTGCAGAGGAGGTCAACTGGGAGTCTGACTGTGTCTGGGACGTCGTCACTTTGCGTCCTTTGCTGCACAGGTTACTGCTGTCCATCCTTGAGCACTTGGCTTTATACGTCCGCCTGCCATTAGGGAACATCTGGGGCATCCCTGGAACCGTAATCAGTTCCCCTCAGCTTTTGTAATACTTTCATTGGATGGCGGTCACTCGGCCCCCCGCTCCACCAGGGCGCGCAGGCCCCGGGTAACCGCGTGTGCTTAATGTGTTGGAAATTTCATTTAACTCTCCTCTTCGCCTCTCCCATCTCTCCCTCTCTGCTCTCGGTGGCCAGTGATTGCTTGCAGCCTCCCCACTTTCTCCATCCCTTACCCCTCCTCCCCCATCCCGCTGGGTTTGACCGCCTTTCTCCTTCTAGCGAGGGAGGTGTGGAGAGGACGAATGAACGAGGCTGGAAGAGAAACTGAGAAAGCGAGATAAGGGGATAGGCAGAGATTCCCAGATCAGAAGGCGAATCACTTAACTTGCACAATACAATGATGGTTACTTTGGTGCACTGGCTGACTAGAGCTGCTTCAAGGAGAAAAAACATAAGGCACATGTACTCAACATGCAATATTAAATAGCTCTTTATATTCGAGAGGATATGATGTTGGTAGAAATGGCCGCCACGCATCTCTTCTATTCTATTTACTTTAGCCTTTTCTTCCTGCTGCTTTCTTTCCCGAGTTTGTTAAATAATTGCAGGAAACGATATTGTAATTTCAAGACCTTTCAATGTTGTTGATATAATGCGATAGCATAAAAATGCAGACAGCCCCTTTCTAAGAGACCAATTTCATTGAGTTATTAATAATACACAGACACGGGGAATTGGAATTTTAAATCATGTTAAATTAAACCTAAAAAGAGTAACATAAATCCAATTAAACCATGTGAACAATGAATCTAAAGCTGCTGAAATGTTGGCGATTCTTATTGGAACAATTGTGCATGCAAACACAACCGGCGCCGTTGAGGTCTGCTGAAATGCCAGCCGTGTTCTCACCATCTTGTGAAGAGGATCCAGTCGTCATTATCTTGTATCAAAAGCGTTTTTTTGGGGGGGGGGCGCGTCAGACTGCGGCTCAAGTGTCAGGTTTAGGTGTTGGGTAAGGAGAAAAGTTAAAAATAGTCATTTCAATACAAATTGTCCCATCTGGATTCAAGTGTTGCTATAACGCCATTTTCTTTCAGATATTATCTTCCAAATGAAGTGGTCAAAGCTTACATGCTCCCTGGCGGTGCTGAAAAACACGTGCTGAAACCTCCTTATGCAGAAGAACCCCCTCAGGCCAATTCACAGGCCCACTTCACTCAGCGTCTCCGACATCTAAGATTACCCACTTGCCAATTTGAGCTGTTGCATCAGGAGACATTTGAGTGTCCTGCCTGCCTGCTGATGAGTCCTTCCCAGACGTTGCTCATGTAAACGCTCCAGAACGCGTTGCTGTGCATCGGACTGACAACGTGTGAAGCTTGAGGGATGGATAAGAGAGCTGCTGTGATTGGGGCGTTACCTGAGAGGACCGGCGGTTCAGGTGTGACGTGTACCAACACTTTGGTGGTCACTTGAATTGTTGCAGTGAGACAATTGGACTTGAATTCGTGGGCAGGAACACGTTTATAAACTGAAAAAATGCCCTCTTGTTTTTGGAGGAATTCCTTTTTTTAAATACATCGCTCTCCTGTTTCCAGATTATCAGGGAATAATATTTCCATTTATTCAGTATTTTCTGCAATTGATAAAGACCCCGTTGTAAAAAATGGTCTTCTCTCAATGCGGGAAGATCTCTGCTCACCTGTTTGTTGCTTGTTGTGTGCGAGAGAAGATGTCGTCAGCTGCAGCCTCTTGTCTCCCGAGAACGAGGTGTGTTGAGTGTGCGTGTTTTTAGTAGCTTTCTACACTGTGGTTTGTATCTTGAGTGTAATCAACAGAAATAGACAGGGACTTCCCTCGCTCGCGCTTCAACGGAGAAACAACTCGCATGTGTAAGATCAAGCACTTGGTAGCACGTTTATCACATGTTGAACAACAGTAAAGCTGGCAAAGCTTCATGTTTAACCCCCAGCCTTAAACGTTTGCTCTATTGTTACACACATTTAAGTCCAGTTGCACATTCATGTTTGTGCGTCTGAAGCATTGGGAGAATGGGAGCAGGACCACCTCACTTAGTGGAGATGTCATTATTATTGTGCTCTCGCATTAATGGTATAAAATACCTTGTGATCCTGCACAAAGATCATTTAATGTAAGACATTACATACAGAATGATTTATATTTGGCAATGTTGTGGTGTTTATTGTGCTCACCGTAGTCTCACTGCACAATTAAAACCTGCAGTGTTTTTTTGAATGGGAGCTCATTGACCATAATTCTTTATAACTGCACTGCCGCAGCTTTCATTTGCTGCCAGAATGGAAATGAGTCAGTTTGGTTGTTTGGCAGAGACGTCGCATCAGTGAGTCTCCCACATCACACCGCAAACAATCTGGCGAGTGCTACTTGCGCCTCCACAGTATCAGCCGGGAGGACAATCTCTTGGCAGTTCATGGACACTTTTTATTGCCCCTTGAGTCTTGTATGCAGGTCACTGCCATGAGTTGGTTCTGTATGTCTGACTTGGTAAAGAGGAGGAAGAAACCAAGGTCGTTTAAAGCCATAGTTTTGTGTTGTGAAGGCCGCGTCGAACACAACGGCAAAGAATGGGCCGTGCGTGTCATTGATCGTCCGCGGAACTTCAAGAGTTACTTCAGCTTGTCTGAACAGCTGGAGGAGGAGGAACCCGTGCAAGTTCGTCTACCTGAGTGTTCATAACGGCTACAACGGACGGAAAATGAAATGGACATAAATAACTCCTGGCCTTACTTTTCAAGCCCAACCAAGCGAGGCTAAAAGTATTTTAGAGAAAAGGCCTTTGTGTGTGTTTTATACCACGTACAACGAGACCGAAGCACACATCCATTTATCGAGGTCGGAGTCCATACACCAAATGCGTAATTAGACAGCTACAGCTCAACCACGGCTCCTTATCATGGACTATAAATGATTACTTTTGATTAATTAATGCATAGCTGACGTCTTAAAGGACCCATCGTATGGCCATTTTTCCACAAGTTGATATGGTTCCTTGGGGTCTCAATGAAATGTTTGTAACATATTTTGGTCAAAATACCACAAGAAGCCAGCTTCCCCCCCCGCCCCCCCCCCCTGGGTCGAGTGGTGGTGGGGGGCGGTCCAAGGCCATGTAGGCAGACTCCCTACATGGGCGTGCTTCAAAATCTACGTAGACATTGGTGGTGATCCCATTGGACGCACTCAAGCATATCGTTTCTGACACCACAACACCACAACAAGCCGCGTGAGTTGTTCTTTTCCAGCGTTTTTTGTGTTGGGAGAAATGCCAGATACCCAAATTAACGTATAGAAGCACTAACAAAGTGGAATTTTCATAATATGGCCCCTTTAATGGTTAGCTGTGTCACAGCTGGAGTCCACTGTTAGTCCAGCAAACTGTCCTTAGTGGACGAAGCCACTTGCATGATGGGAAACACTCTGAGAATGGCCCGATGAAAGGACAGAATATATTAAGAACAATTTATCAAACCATTCATTTAATATACAAATTTCTTTTTCTTTTCCTGCATAAACACATGTGTGGTATCTACCCACACATTTACCTCTCAGAAAGGAAGCAAATAAAAGGTGTCAAACTATTCCCTTCTATTTGATTGATTGCATTGTTGCGCGAGAAGAAAAGGAAAAATGTGGTAGGAAAAACTCTTAAATGATGTATGTTTGATTGAATCAGAAAAGGTAAGTGATTAAACGCACTCCTTTCAAACATGTTATTATTTAGTGGAGGTGAAAGCGGAATCAATGTTTTCTGGAATCAATGTTTTATTTCCCAGTTCACTTTAAGTGCAGACCTGCAAACCTGCCTGTTTTTTTATCGCTCTCTACAAAAACAACCTCCCAAATGTTCACATTGAGAAACATTGAGCACGTTGGCCGTCTTCCTCTCACATGACACCAGTCGCCTTCCTATCAAAGTAATTGATGGCTTGCTAACTTCGGGCCGATGCTGCTTTATTTATGTGACTGAGGAGCAGCTGCATGCAGGTCAACATGTTCACCTCTGATTGACGGTCACAGGAGCAGAGCCCCTCACACCCCCTCACACCCCCCTTCCCCCAGCGCACACGAGAAGCTTTGCACGATCGCCCCACTGCAGCGCCCGCCGTGTTGGAATTGCTGAGCGAAGGCCTATTCTGGGAATAGAAAGTAAAACTACCAGTTTCGCGCCTCATTACTTTAAGCCTCTTTTTAGCTCATTGGGACGTGATGGCGGTTGTTGTGAAAATAGCGCCAGCGCTGCCGTTTTCCATTTTATTGCTATAACCTCAAAGACGTCTTTTTCCACCTGATGCCCCCCCCCTGCGTATTTCATTTAACGTTTTGTGTCTTTTCTTGGGCAGGAGCTGCTGTCTGCACCGTTCAGCCGTCAGACTGTGAGGAGAGCACACAGCCTCCGGCCTGCAGCCCCCTCCACACTCTTCACCCAGCCCCCCCCTGCCCTGTCTCCACAGGTGAGACTGCCTACATGCACGTATGTGCTTATCGTAAAGGAATAGACAATGACACCTTTTTGGACATCATTGATTATTGCCATAAAGCCTCTAGAGCAAATCCATATCGATTAGAGTGTGTGTGTGTGTGTGTGTGTGTGTGTGTGTGGCTCATTGATTGGGACAGCGCGTCAATCCAAGACTTCTTAATGTGTTGACAGCAGCCAGCACCAGCATCGTCAGCACTATCCAACAGCTTCATCACCATGTGTGGCAGCTTTTGAAGTACTTTGTATAGTCAGAATATTGCTGTGTCATCATTTCTGATTTTTTTTTTTTTTTTTAAATCAATATTGGTCTATTGGCAGTTGGTTCCACTCGTTTAAATAATTTTGGCTTGAGCGGATGCAGAGAATAAAAGTGAGTGGAAGTGGATGGCTTCATTCCCCGGGGAGCGTTTTCTGTTGGTCGCCTCTGTTTGGATTGATAGCAATGACTAAAGCGCCCGTCATCCGAATCTGATTAATCCTCCACCACGCGTCCCCGCTTCGACGAGAATGAGTCCGTTGTTGTTTCTATCGTTTCCCGTTTACCAGTGATTAGCATGCGCACGGCCTATTTGGGCGAGGATCCTTTGAAGGTTGTCGAGGACGCGGGACGGCAGCCTTTTAATAAAGTCATTAGCAGAAGAAATCTATTCAAATGTATTCAAAAACCCCACTGTTCAAAGCAGCCTCTCCGCCGGGGTGTCGTTCCTTTGATTCAGTGCTGACGCGAAGCAGCGTGTGTGCCGCCCCCCCCCCCCCCGTCTTCCCATCCAGCCTCTGTACGGCCTGCAAATCAACACTGTACGAATACGATACGTATTACAAATCTGTATTCGGAGGTTGAATGACAGCAGGTTGTCGGTGACCTGTGGCCTGTTTGAAGGCAAACCATCGGGCTGCTTACACGTGTGTGTGTGTGTGTGCGTGTGCGTGTGCGCGCGTGCGTGCGTGCGCGAGACCAGGAAATCACACATGTTTGCTACTAATGATAAGATTTTCTGTTTGTTTCCCTGAATCGGCTCAGTCTAATTAGAGGATCACAAGTTGAGCGAAGCCCATCAGCGTGACATCAATGGCACGTTTCTTTCTTTCTCAGTTTTTCATTTGATTGACTATCGCCATCTGGGTTTTTTTTCTAGTTCTCTGCTGTGATGTGTTGTTTTCAATGCAGCTGATGTAAATGCAGTTTGAAGGTCCGTGCGGCTCAGAGAAGCCTTAATGGAACTCAACTGCTGGGTTGGTGAAATGTTTCTCACAACGGCACCGGAGAAAAGCTCGTTTTCAACGCCAGCGCGCACGTGCATGTCAATTTTGAATTTGTGAATTATCTTGGTTCCTTCGTGGTGTTACTTAAAGATTAATTCAACACTCTTCTCAGCACAAGGCGTTATATTGGCTACCTTCCACCAGCACATCACAACGCCTCTGTGCTCCTCCAACCGCCTCAATCGGACCGCAGCCCTTTGTACTTGGTAAGGTCCAGCTACAATGTAGTAGTGGCATTATGTTAAAAAGGTCAGCTCAAGGTTAAGTGTGTATATTTCTACCATACGATGCGCTCGGCCCACCAGCGCGCTCGCTCGGGATGAAAGTTTTATGACCAGAACAGGATCTCCGTTCCCTGAGTGCATGCGATCCTCTGGCCGTGGATCGCAGTGCATTAGCCCGTGCTCCAAATGGTGTGTGTGTGTGTGTGTGTGTGTGTGTGTGCGCCCGCCCGCAGGTGCAGGTGCGCGTGCGCGCGTGTGCCCGCCCGCAGGTGTGTATGTTGGCCGTGCTGTGATTGCGATGCTGCATGTTTTTCCATGTGTGAGGGTGGTTGTACAGGTAACCTGAGCACGGGGCTCCTCTTCACTTGGTGACTTTCTACTGCAGCAGGCCGCGAGGCGAGGCGCTTTGGAGGGGGGGGGGGGGTCTGTTGCTAAAGGAGAACAGAGGAAACAAATACATTCCTCGCGCTGCCGGGGAGTTTAAACGTCAGCTGTGAGTTTTCCCAGCAAGGCCACGGCGCTGAGAGGGAGCCAGTCGAGTGTCCCGAGTGTCTCCCACACGTGCCTCATTGCCCCCGCAGGGAGGGCTGTTTGTGCAGAGGCCCGGGGACGGGAGGAGGCGCAGCGGGGAGGGTTGGACTTGCCAGGGCTTGTTGCTTCTGCGAGAAGGTGCGGGGCCGAGGATGCGGGCGTCACGACCGTAGTAGAATCAAGGTTCACGAGCAGTGGAACGGCAATCTAGATGCACGAGCTTGTTAATCTTTTAAAACGCCGTCCCCCACCGGACCGGCTATAGAGAGACACACACACACGCACAGAGCCATTCTCAGCAGCACAGTTCATACACGGACATCTTGACCCATCTGCTTGGCAGCTCTTGCAGATGGGAGCCGAGGCAATTTAGAGAACTTAATGAATGTTACGCGGACACACAAATGGAGCAATCTGAAACGAGGAGGAAACAATCCCTTCCCGTTTCTGCAGTTTGTTACTCCACACGTAACAGTACACAAGAAACCATTGCAGGGCGGATTGGTTATTTTTGAATTGAAAGATTGATGGAACAGGAGTAGCAGAGCGTTGCGTTCAAACAGCCGAGCAGCAATCGCGTTGTGTTGTCAAATATCGCCGAGTCGTCGGAGCGCAGAAAAAGATTTTAGAACCAGCTCAACTTTGATTTGCCGGGCGTCCACACCCGAGTGTCGCGCGTCACTCACTGTTGGCTCATGGCGCGGCCTTCCATTGAACAGTGGGCGCGCACTGTGGACGCAGCAGCAGGGCGCAGCGCGGGGAGGAAGTGTCGCCACTGAAGTCTGCAGAGGTCTTGACTAAGTCGCACACAGTCGACGGAGACTTTGAACCGGCCCCGTCGTGCAATCCTCCTCCTGAAGGCAGCCGAGGCATCGGTCAACAAATAACACAGTTACTGTAAGCTTAACTGTTTATTTGCTCTTTTCTCTCCCTTTGGAGGGTGATTTGTAAGTTATCGAAACCTACTTTTGGCAATTTACACATTTTCCAATATCTGAGGCGGGTGTAGTTCAGAGAATGGCGACAGAATAAGCCGTTTTACGCAGAGAGCTCACGATGCAGACCTGCGTCGGTGCAAAAAGCAGTTGTTTTCGTGTTTACGTTGTGTTATGGAGGGAGCCATGTTGATCTTATTGGAATTCAGCCTTGAACTGCCCGTGCAGAGCGAGCGGACACTTCTGTCGGTTTCCTTCAAGTCCCCATTGACGGCTTTTCAGAGTGCATCTCTCTCTCTGTGTTGTATTATTGTAATACCCCAACAAGGAGATTTGGATGAAAACAATTTAGAAAAGGTGCATGCAGTGGCTCATGTATTCACTGTAAGCAATGCTTTTATTGGGCCACACAGCGCCACGCCTTTACCCGGTGTTCATTGCAGACTAAATGAACCTGCGAGTGGATTGGAGTCATAACTGTACCTCTTTCCACACCAACTAGACGTCCATAAATAGAAACCGTTGATAAAAAAAGACATCAATCATTCCAGAACCTCCGTGAGAATAATCCTGTTTCTATTTTCCCTTTAGTATCAAAGCCGCTCCGTGATCGCTGTCTTTGTATCAAAGGCTAGATTCAAATCAGAATCCAAAACGTGACTAAATATAGGCTTTAACAACTATGCTAATTTGTAGCCCACAGCTAACGCCCTGTTTCCATGGAAATACTCTATTTTCATCCCCTGAGAACCCCAACCATGAGTAAAAAATAATAAAGATGGTTGTGACAAAACCTTTTAATCTGAACTTTATTAATGTTGCGCCATCTATAGATATATTTATTCATCTACCTATATATCTTCAGATATATAGGTAGATGGATGAAGACAACTCTCCTCGTGTTCATTATCCATTGAACAAATTCCACGGGGCTCTGGTTTCTCATTTGTTTCTTTCAGGCTTTGAAAAGCCCCGACTTGGACCAACTTTTTACTAGTTTTCCCAGTTACAGCTGCACCTTCTTCGACGGAGACCCTAGATTGCTATTATTATAATCATGCTATATCACACACAAGCGCGCTGTCATCAAGTCACTACATCTGAGTGGTAAAACACTTTGTTTTCCTCATCGTAAAAATGTTTTCTTCAGAGACTACTGAGAACATTTTGTATGTGTAATTTACAATTTAAAAGAAAATCAAAAAAGACTTTACTTACAAAAAATATATATAACTACAAACCTTCATGAAATAATAGTATTTTAAAGTGTCTAGTTCATAAAGATTTCCCTTCAGGCACGTTCTTCTTCTGTCATGTGTTTGAACAAAGCCATTGATGTTCACTTCTTAACGTTTCATTGACTCTGCTCAGTCATCAATACTGTGTAAAGGTTTATGTGAGTCTTAAAAAGTCAACCAGGAATCCTTCAAGAACCGACTTTGTGCTCCTTGGATATCTGTGACGTCTCAGAAAAGAGGTTGTATCCTCGACGCTGTGTAGTATAATAAAGTAGACTAAGTAGTCTCACAAGTATAAACCTGTCCTCAGAATACGGGGGGGGGGTCTTATTTGACCATCATTAATGTTTTAATCACACTGACTAGATTATTTATGTGTATGTAAAAGAAGACTGCTGAATCGCTGCAAGATGACGAGTCAACAGAAAAGCCGATGACCTTTGCAGATGAAATATTTAATAAATAAAGCATATTTGCAACAGTGTGACATCATATCGCCTATGTCACAAACCCCGATGGGTTGAAAGGGTTCCACGCTAACGCCGGTGATGAAGCCGGGCCGCGCTGCGCCCCGCAGCTTACCAGGTGGGGGACGCCGCTCTCACAAGTGATCACACCGATCAGCTGTTCAACCTGTAATTTGTTGCAATAGTAGCATTTGCACGCTAACCTAACATGTGCATTATTAACATCTGGCACAGAACAGGAAGATGTTTCGCGTGAATGTTCCTGAATCACTTGAATTATCTCCCAGCCGGGGGAAGCCAGGTTGTTTGCGCG